GAGTTTTTTCTCGCGATCAAAATCCTGGTCTCCGTTGGAAGCGACGCGCTGCAAAGCTCGTTGTGAGTATACTTGATCGACTTCATTAGTCGCGAGGGAAGGGATTGCTGTACCCTTCTCGCGATAAAAATGTCTCCCAGGCAGGAACCGCAGGAGAGGGTCAATCCCCCCCCCCTCCTATGTGACCCCGGTTGGGTCGCCTAGCTGGTAGAAGTGGAGGATAGGGGCCAGAGGGGCAGACGACAGAGTCCAATGATGGGAGAAAAAAAAATAATAGGGCTTGCAGACGTTCGAGTAATAGTAGCTCCTCCTCATACATCGTATCATATCATCTTACACAGCGTATAATAATAAGTATTACAGCGAGCGGTGTCAGAGCGGTTGGTGTGGCAACACGTGAAATTGCTGGACAGCGACGGAGCCGGTGCACGAACACCGTTCGTCGCGTTCAACTCATCAACCGGCGCAAAGCGCTGCAAACACACGCGGTCGGAAGTTAGGCCCACGAAAAGATAGGCTAACGTACGGAGAAAGGAGGGGACGGGTTTGTACCGGGAAAGGTCGTGTGGGTGTCTCTTTGAGTGGTATCGGCCGCGTCAGTTGCCCGGCTGTGGCCAATGAAATGAAAGTACGCAAGTCTTACGGCGGGAAACCAACAACAATACGCCTCCTTCTAGTCAGCGGTGGGCTCCCCCGAAAAAGTTGAGCGCAGCGGATTGGACGACAGCGTCCCGTCGGCGGAGATTCAGACTTACTTGTTGCAACACGGGAAAAAGACTACGCAAAGATCTGCTGGTCCGTACCATTGTACGGTGGTGGAGCAAAATAGTAGTCTGGACGCTGCCGCTGCCCATTTTCCAGTTTTTGGACAACACAACCGCCGACATTTGTACCGAAGAAACGCTTGAAAACCTGCACATGACCGCGGCAGTCAGCCCCACGAAAGAAAGGGCCAGAGGGCGCTGCGGTGCTGGTGACGGGACACTGATCTTTAGGGGGCGCCGTGGTTACGAAGGGAGCGCTGTCGTGTAGTAAGTACTAGATTGGGGGGAGTATTATTGAATAGTACTACAGTGGAGCTAGAGGCTAAGGGAAATGAATGGGCGGGGGGGACTTGTTGACGCCCTCACCAGAGTTATTTCCCGAAAAGGTTTCTGTAACCGCTTGATGCTGTCAAATATATGGGTTGTTTTGGTAGGGCGGGGGTGTGTGTGTGGCAGCGAAATGGGGAAGGACATGTGCACAACAAGTACATGAAAAACGGAAAGAAACTAAGAAACCACGGAGGACGTACACCTTTTGATGGTTTCGTGCGATTTGAGTTCCCTTCACACCGCTATTTGCGTGTTGACCGGACTTTGCTGTCTGGCTGTCTGGCTGTTATTTGTTTGTCCTGGCAAAGAAAATCGAATCCCCTCGATCAGAGACGACGCAAATTGTCCAATGAAAGAAGAGCAAAGAAAGATTAACAGGTTTGGGAGTAAAGGGTACATGTCAAGATGAAGTACTTGGTGTTAACGAATGGAACAAAACTTGCCGAACCGGAAAACGAACGTTGTTGATCCAACAGCTTCCGTTTGGCAACAGATCGCCTACATCAGTTCCCTGCCCGTTCCCGGGTCGTATCTCGACGCGGTCCGCTTTCTGGCCGGCGGAGCGCAGAGTTTTCACGAAATGTTTCAATACGCGCAATAGATTCGCCCTTCACGGGACATGTTTTAACCAAGCTACACCCATAGTCTACATTCCGACGCCGTTGCCAATCTGTGCTTCTTGACCACATACACACGGTTCACCACGTAAATCTACATAATAGATAGACATCATTCTTGTCCCTTCCATTGCTTTCCCCAAAACAAAAACAAGCGCAATTTATCGAGCAAAATTGTGTCACAAAGTCTACAACAACGAGCTTCTGACAAGGAACTTGCAACCTACCGTACGTACGTAGTGGTAGCTGCACATAGCGGCTTACCAACAACGGAATTTTTTGTATGTATCATTTCTCCCCAAGGGGTTCCACGATACTACTCACATCGACAAAAAGGACGCATTCAACACACGAAACGCACCTCCTCTTAAAATGTACCACACGTTCACCGTTCGTTCCATGCTCCAAAGGGTGTGGTTCTCCGGCTAAATTCTCGACTGTGCAAGAAACGAGCGACGTATCGTCTAACGTTCGCTTCTTCGCCACACTCACAACGGACTCGGATTTTGGTCCGCAACAACATTTACGAAGTACGGAGTACTTCGTAAATGTTTCCAAGCCAGTCGAAAACACAAATAATCACCACTGCTACCGTATCGCGCCCCCAAGGGTGCACTACGACGGCCATAACCTAACGTTCAGCGACGAAACAAGAGCACGCGTGCAAACACCAACTGCCACTTCATCCGTAAAATCCGGGAACACTTGAAGTCTATGCTATTCTCCACCAACAACCGCTACCTCCGCACACCGCGGTACCCTTCCTTGCTGCATCTTCCATAGCTCCAATAATACATCAATAAGGCTATTTGACGTTTTCCATGAGACATCATCCGTCTGTCGTACCCAGATACTAAGCGCAGATAAAACACACCACAACTCTTAGAGATTGATAAATAGCACATATTGGCCCTTCCCTCTATTGCCGGCCGTACCAGCGAGAGGGCCCTTCCTTGTAAAATCCGAAGAAGCGCATGTATACTGCAGTAGTAGTATTTGCAATTTGTTCTGCTATTCACCAGGACCACGCGCACCACTCGCGTCCACGCCTGAGTATCATTTACCCCCCTCCCTCCCTTCCACCGTGAACCCGAAAGAAAGGTTGCGGTAAATCCTCCGATACATAACTTCACACGCTTGCTTTCAAACATTTGTCTCTGTGCAGAACTTCTGCGGTCCCAGCCGTGTCGAGAAAGGGAAAGGGAGGCAGACACCGGGGCTACATTCCTTCACTACATGTACAGTAGAACATCAGACAAACGGAGTTCGTTCATGTAACAACGCGTAAAAACCCCACTGCGGTGAGGACGAGGAGGCGGCCGCCGCTTCTCTCGCCTCCCGGGCCAGTCTCGCCCGTTCGCTCTTCTAGCGAGGGGGGCTTTCTGGCCCCCCTACACCGCCATAGCCTCCGGCTGGATCGCCGACGAGGCACTCTCCTGCTCTTCCTCCTCCTCACCGCCGGCGGCACCCTCCTCCTCCTCCTCCTCGGCGGCGGGGGCGGCGGGAGCAGCCGCTTCGGCCGCCGCAGCCGCTTCGCGGGCCTCCCGGGCCAGCCTCGCCCTGGTGCTCTCCCAGCGGCGGGGGGCCCCCTCCATCGCCGCAGCCTCCGGGTGGACCGCCCACGAAGAGACCCCCTCCGTGGCTCCGCCGCCGCCACCAGCGCTCAACATGGCGTCCCGCTCGCCCCTGCGGGCCTTTTCCTCCTCCGCCGCCAGCCTGGCGTCCCGCTCGCGCCTGCGGGTCTCCTCCTCCTCCTCCAGCTCGATATCGAGCCATCGGACGCTGAGGGCGGCGGCGGTGGCACGCTTCGGCTTCAACATCGAGCCGTCGATACCCCTGTTAAGGAGGATCGAGCCGGGGGGGAGAGTAGACGGCGGGAACTGCGCGGAATGGCATAGACGCAGGTACGGCGAGGGGGGGTTCGGCGGAAGCCCCATGACCCCGTAAAAGAACAATTCGTCCGGAACTCGAAAGTTGTCGGCCGTCAGGGTGGTGACGACCGTCATGGGTGCCGGCGAGCTCAACGACCACCTTGCCGACATCTCCGCCAGCAACCGGCACAGGCAGTGTACGGCGGCCTGCCTGGCACCGGGCGAAGTGGCGTCGGTCGTGGCTTGCCCGTACCTGGTTACGGTTTTGGTCCGTCACACGCGAGGGAGGAAACAGGATGGCAGTGTTGAGAAGAGTCGTGCGAGAGGAGATGGAGCTCTCGGCTAAACACTTCCTCTGTCGCTAAGTCTCGTTCTGTTTGTACGAGCACTGTAGCCGTTTCCGATGCCTTCGGCGATGATTTAGTGGACATTCTTTACCCTGCATGGGCCAAGGGACGGAAAAGTGTCGGTCGACCCAAAAAACAGCCATGTTTTGCCCCACTTCGGCGAGGGTGCAGCGACAAGAAACAACACACACACACACACACACACACACACCTCACGGAGTCCCGCTTAATGGCATTTTGAAGTGTTTTGTGCTGTCAGCCGCACTGAGACTGACGTCTTTTCATAGGTCAGTCGGTTTTCGCGGTCGATGCAAATAACAAAAAACACACGCACAACCTCTCAACAAACACCCATCAATCGGGGGGTATTTCGACTTGATTTTGTGTGTTGAAAAACGGGTTTTTCACCAGCATTCTCTGTGCTTTCTTTGCAACGAACATTAGATAGTCTAGTTCATGATCATCGGAACAACATGAATACATGGGTGGAGACTACAACCGGAGACATGAACGAGGTTGATGAATCTTGTTTGTGTTGTTGGGTTGTGCGCGGTGGAGCAACAGTTTGGAACAGCGGCACACCCGTGGCTACAAATACCGGAAGTTGTTGCCGAAGCCTCTGTATCATCAAACTCTCCCGCGGTTGCTAGCGCCGAAGGGGTCACCGGCGTTTGCCGGACCTGGGTAAAGGACCAACGCCCGCGATGAAACTTCGTTGTTGGCGTTTTAGGCGCGATCGCGCCTTGAATGTCTCACCTGTTCGTCACTCATTGACCTACAGGTGAAACATGCAAGGCGCGATCGCGCCGAAAACGCCCACAACGAAGTTTCATCGAGGGCATTGGTCCTCTACCCAGGTCCGGCAAACGCCGATGACCTCTTCGGCGCTAGCAACCGCAGGTGAGTTTGATAGTACAGAGTCTTCGGCAACAAAACACACACGCAATCTCTCGAGAAACACCCACCCACAAATCGGGGATAATTCGACTTGATTTGGGTGTCGAAAAAAGACATTTTTTCATCTGCATCCTCTGTGCACTTTCTCTTTGCAACGAACCCCAGTTTACAATCATCGCCACTAACGTTCCACCTCAAAAACTTCTCGCCCATAACGCTACACACTTATGGGACAGAGGAAGTATATGAAGTAGATGAAATCATACGTGGAGAATACAACAGAACAAGACCATGGACTAGGGGTTGATGATTCTTGTCTTGTGTTGTTGGGTCGTTCGCGGTGGAGCAACAGTTTGGGACGGCGGCGTACACGTGGCTACAAATACCCGAAGATGTCCGGCAAAAATATTGTACTACTTCTATCGAACTCACCAGTCCCCGTTGACCGGGGCACGGACGTTTGCCGGACCCGTGTAGAGGACCAATGCCCTCGATCCATGTTCTTCCCGTGTGGCCCTTTCGGCGTGATCGCGCCGTGAATGTCTCCACCTGTGGGTCAACGCGTCAAAGGGTGGGTGCACCACGGAGGAAGTGTCATGTGTCATGTAGGCTTGTGCTTGTGGGCGTCGATTCCGTGGGTCATGCAGGAAAACGGGGCTAGTTTACTGTCTGCAGGGCTACCAAGCACAGTATACACATGAGGCTTTCCCACGGTATTAATCAAAATCTTTGCAGTTGTTTGAGTCTTGAGTTAGGTAAATCAAAGTAAAACGTCAACCCTGGGAGTGTACCCTACCCCCCCCGCCCACTCAAGTTGAAGCAAACACAAAAACTCACCGCCTCCTCAGAGACATCCACGCGTCGCAGATCACGACTGCCCCGGCGATGAACACAGAGGCAGTCACACATGTGTACCTTTTGGAGGTGGAGGAAAGAAGGGAACAAAACAGTTGCACCGGACGGGGATTGCGTCGTTCACATTCAGACACTGGTCGAAATCCGACCCTTGGTGTTCCCAACCAACTATGTTTGCGACAAACCCTGTCTGCCACTCCCGTTCCACGTGTTGGATAAATTAGTCCTCCTATCGATGGGTACTTTTTCCCGGTGGCCCACCCACTACGCACTACGCACGCATCGGAAGTTCGTGCGCGTGTGTGTACACTTTTTGTGAACTCTTCCAAGCACGTGGTAGTCTGTAGCGCAGCAGTATGTGTGCCCTCAAGTTTGACGTGCATGTATGTGAGTAAATAGTCCAAAAACCGAAGCTCTTCAGTAGACGAGGCAAGTCTTGCCGTGACAACAGATGATTTTGCGAGAGAGAGAGAGAGAGAGAGAGAGAGAGAGAGAGAGAGAGAGAGAGAGAGAGAGAAAGAAGGTGGGGTGATGGGCCCTCTTTGCGCTTGAAGGCATACAGCGTTATGGAAACCTCCTGCATGGTCTCGGATATTGACCGGATGGTCCTCTGTAGCTCGTTAGTAGAAGTACGTCAGTACACGAGAGGGCCAAAAAGAGACGCTATGCAATACAACAAAAAAAAGTGGAATATTTTTAGCGAGAGCTGGGTGGGGTGAACCAAATCTCTCCTGTCTAATCACGAACCTTCACCATCCTCATTGTAATCTGGTGGAGTGCTAGAGAGCGACAGCAGGACATCTGGATTTCTCTAAATCGATACCCATGTCTGTGCACTCAACGTATGCCACAGACAGATGATGCTCAGAACAATTCGAGTCGGACGTGAGATTATACTGCGAAGGGACTTCGATATATATATACTTCAAGTATGTAGTTATTCTAAGAAGGAAATGTAGTGATCGACCTGATGCCACTACCGACAACATTTGCATCCCTGGGAAGGTCTTCACTACGCACATCTCGCACCCTGACTGACAGACTCACAGTCGACCGTAGCGTCGTTCGGCGCCAAGCAACACAACAGGATATGAGAGACCATAGACAGGCATGACGTCCATACTGTGAATCACTCCCAGCGTTATCAGAACAAATTGGGCACGTACGTACATGACTCCCGTGCTCACACATCACCTCTGGTACGGCGTCCTTGCACCCACTCGCTCGTGCACGGCCTTACTCCAAAAGAGTACCTCCCCGCTGAAATCCATCTTCGATCTCTAGAACCTTGTAGCTGGTGGTCGGTAGGTTGTTGAGTGGTTGGTGTGGTGAGAAGTGGGAGGTGTGGGGGTGTGTACGCACCCGGGCGAGATACATTTTTTTTCTTTCGGAGCCCCGGCCCCCGGGCGCTTTCACGCTTTTGATCGTTGGATATTTTGGTCCAAATCGGACCGGCTTGTGTGGTGCAATCAGTGCCCTATAGTTTTTCCAAGTTGTTTGGGTATACTAACGTTAGAATAGGATGAGTGGGTTTATTTTAAGTCCAACGGGAAGGAATAATATGGGTAATGGAAGCTATAATAGTCTATGAGTCAACCGAAGTTAGCTTACAGGTTACCGAACGAAGTTAACGATCCTAGATCCAGAAGTCAGATATGTCAGAAGAATTTGGATGTACTCAGTTGTAGGCGAGAGAGTCATGAGAGAATATGTTCTTAATTAGGAAATAGTTGGATGGTGGAGAATAATTGTAGTCTGGGAAGGGACCAACCAGCAGGCGGGAGGTGCCTCATGCACCCCATCTGGGTTCAGTTCCCCATTCCGGATTATTATTAGATTTCCAAAGTCCAGAACTCTAAAATCCAAAGAACGACTTACCACGACGAACATCACACAAGGTATCTACCCTGCTTTCCAGTGGTCACGAACATAGCACAACTTTTTGTCCAGAAGGGCCCGAATCATGATTGATTTTTTTGTCTGTTGTCTATGGTGTACAGCAGTTATATGATCACAACCAGCTACCACCGTCGCCAAGGACTACATAGACTAGAGTAGTCTACGAGATCTACGCGCTATTTCGTATGCAACGGTATTGATCGTCGTGACTGCTAATGTATGTCACTAAATTTTTTGGAAGCTTTCAGGCGGCAACAACACATGAGTAAGCCCTAATGAGCTGATGATGTTCATGTGAAGAATCAATTTGCCCACCACGCGCATGCCGCTACCTGTTATATATCTGTGTGTGCTGGTTAAATACAGAACCCACCTTACCTCCCATTCGGGGCCGTTGTGGTTTGTGTAGGATGCAGGTATGTTCTGCTCCCTGTGGCAAGTGGCACGCGCAAGGCGTGCTTCGTGCCGTTTTGTACACGAAAAACAGAGACATGAAAGCCTCGTCTGCGTCAGTCACTTCGGCGGCGCGTTCAGCACCTGCACAGCGTGTGTGTGTGATGACCGTGGCGTCACTCATGGTGTCGGGTTGTTGTGTATGAGCCTGTGAGCGTACTACTACACACAGACGGTTTATGGAGTTGCTTTGTCGTGTGGTGTGCGGTCCTTGCTGTGTGTATATGTGCATATTTGTCGCGTGTCGTCTACAAGAAGAAGATCGATAGATCGTTTGTTTTTGGTCGGGCAGTAGGCCGCAGGCAAAAATAGGACGGCGTTACACGACGCAACAAAACGCCTCTTTCATCATGCGCAACAAACTCTAGTCTACAGTCTACAGTCCCGTAGTCGTCCTTGTGCCGCACTGCTGCGGTGCAAGGCAATATACTGCACTTGTTGTGTGCTGTTGTTGTCTTCACATTGATAGTGCAAATAATTAGAGTTGTGTTGAGTTGCTGTGTCGTCGTGTCACACTTCTGCTGTACCAGCACCTTGCCTCCTTGAAAGCATATTCCGTGCCAGCACACCCCGCCCCTGGCTATTTATACCGATATGGATTTAGAGGATGATGCCTAGTCTATCCCACCGCCGGCGAGTCCTGGGTTCACAGCACTACTATGTATGTAGTAGTTCCATACTGAGTCGATGGCCTGGACATACCCCTGCTGCGATCGGTTTGTCCACTCATCCTATGGTACACATGAAAGACTCCGCCTCTCCGTTCCAAGCTGAGAGACGCCACCTTATTACGCGGCACACCAGCACTCTTCGTTCCGCTCGCTGTGCGCGGAATAATCAGGCTGTGAGGATTCGGCCTGCCAGGGGGTGTGATATCTCATGTAATCTACGGCGTGTGGTAGGTGACGAAAGACTAGCAGGGAAGGCACAGATCGCACAACGAGAGTTAAAGGTGCGAGAACGACAACAGCAGTGGGCCATGGCGTGCTGTGTTTTAGCAGCAGCAGCGAAATATCTTCGATTGCCATAAAGTTTAGCTACCGGTACGAATCTATGCATACCATCGCACCGCAACCGTCCGCAGACAGCAGTAGACGCCGCTGCATAAAGACAGCTCTTTGCTGCTCACAAATATCCTACAGTTTTTACCGCGTATGTATTCGATTTGAAGATTTCCTGCAATTCGTCATCTTGACGTCAGAGAGCAGCCTTGCATACGGAGTGTAAACAACCGCATAATCTACCCGACGTATATGTATGAATGTACGTGCTTGCCAAGCTCCTCCTTTCCCCAGCCCGCTCTCTATCTGGTAAAAAACAAGGAGCTTGAGATGGAGCTCGGGCCGCCCGAGCAATGACATCTAATTACACGGTAAGGGTTTACCCCTCTCATCAATGGCCAACCCGCCAAATATGTGTTCAATGCAAAGACTACATCCACTTTTCGGCTCGCTCTCCCCCTTTCCGCTCTCTCCGTTCGAAGGACTCCACGTACCAAACAAGGCTTCAAAGACTCGTCTTGTCATCTCGGGTGGTTCCCCTAGTCCCATGGCTGTCCGAACGCTTCTGAGGACAACTTCGTCCTGCACCCACTTTTTATGTGTCCGCACGAATCTTGCTCTTCCAAATACCTACCTGTAGGCGCCCGGATGCAGCCGAAATCCCCTTGGCGAACTCCCCTCCTATCGTCAGTGATAGCAATAATTCATGACGAAAACCAACCCACCGCCTGCATGTGTCACCATCACCAAAACGACTGCCGCAAAAACGCCCCCCCCCCCCCCCCCCCCCCCCCCCCCCCCCCCCCCCCCCCCCCC